GAACTTTCTAATACACCTTGTATAGTATTCGCACATGGTAACCCATGTACCAAGCCAGTCACGGTAGCCGAGCGGTCTGAGGCATGCACTTCCTTCACTCACTTGGAAGCTGGAATTGTGAGTTCGAATCCCACTCAGTGCATGGATCGTTGGTGTGTGTATGTGCATGTGTGCATGTTTTTCTGTGTTTGTGTACAGGTAGAGACTTGTGACAAGCTGATCATCCACCCAAGGAATCCTACCAGATATCTGAGATCTGTTAAATCAAAGTGAAACAGAGAGTGTCTTGGTGGTAGGCCAAGGTGTAAATTGGGGCTGTAGTGCCAAAATAAAAAAGAACATAACACCGAACAATGTGTTAAACACTATACATCTTTTTTTTTATTTGTTTCATTCCGGTCCGTCACACTAACAATTACAAATACAAACCACTCCGTCCAGTGTGACATATAAGTTTTTACTACGTGAAAACTTAATTCCCTTACATGTTTCGGTCCTTATGGACCATCTTCAGAGGGAACAGCATTACAAACTGGAAAATCACAATAGCTGTTTTTATTTAAAATACATACACTTATATCCTATAATGCACAGTACACATAAAGTCGAACATTTCACAATCACAGCAGCTTCCTGGTACTGTAAAGTTTTTAAAAGTTTCTAGATATTATTTAAAAAACCTTTATTGTCAATAGTTAAAATGTATAAACCACATAGGTTTGTGTCCGTACTCCTATTGTCGTCCTTGTATGGGGCAGATTTTGTGCCGCCTGTCTATCTTGATGAGGAGGTTCTTGATGTCGTCCAGTGTTTGTTCGTGGCTTGCTGTGTTGTTTTCACTGTTCCTGCCAATACCACTCCAGACACTGACCCTATCACCAGCACAACACACAGACATGTTATCAAGTGAGGGGCTGGTATGAAACATTTGCAGTAAATCTGGTGACATTGCCCCTTCACCCAACACAAGCTAAAGAGAAATAAGTAATTACACCATGTTATGTTTGCAGGCTGTGAGACAGTACAAAACAAATCTGCATAGAAATAGGAACGCTAACATAAACAAGAATAGCTACAAAATTACGCACTCTCGGCAGTTATACATAAGCAAATACCTCACTACACTCTCAAGTACGTAGGTTTTTAATTATTGTTGTTGTTATTTTGGAACCATTACCATGTCTATGATGATTCTGCCAAGGTTGAATGTGAACAGATATATGTGTTATCATGCTATGAAGAAATTTATAAGCTTGAACCAAGCAAGTTTATGAAATGCAAACCAGTCAGGCAGGACCTTCCAGGTTTCAGTGCATGCACACCCAAACAGAATGTAAAGTTGTAAATGTACTCTATACTTTGGATGGTAATGGCAGTTGCAAAATCAAGGTACTGATGTATTAAATTTATACATGTAAAATATTGTTATTTTAATGCAGTATAATCATTACTTTCAAATGGGTGCAGAAGTTGTTTATGGTTTGTTGGATTGCAGTTCCTTTTTTAAAATATTTCATGGATGGCATGCTACTGTCTCAGTTTACAGACACGTGTTGTAACCTCTGCTGTAGCAGACCTCATTAACTCTTGTTTACATTATTTGTTGTGGGTGGAAGTTCGCCCTTTAAGGGGAATTACTCCATCAGGAAGCAGGAAATTGTGTTAAGATCCCTTCAAATGAGGCACAGTTGTCTGACACATATGTAGCTGCTTCAAGGTGTTCGAACTCCTGCTTCTACACAGAGTAGTGTGCCCATTACCATTTCACACATCCAGAAGTAGTGGCCATTTTGTGGCAGAGCCATAAGTTGTCAAGGAATCTTGTGTGGCAACCTAGGAGAGGACTCATATGGATTTGTTCATTGTATCAGGGTGGACATATCTATTGAACTGTTGCATCCTGAAGTTCATCTTTTTGAGGCCTTACATATATATGTATATTGTTTCAGGGATTTTGCTGGGCCAAATGCAGCCTTTCTTAGTATCATTCGTTAGCTCAACCTTTATTGTTATTTCATTCTAGGGTTTTTTTTTTTAATTGTTTCATTTTGGTCCGTTACACTATTAATCACCAATTGTCAATAGATTTTCCGTCAAGTGCAACAATATATATTTTGGTCACTTATTTATCTCATCTGCCTTACATGTTTCGGTTCCAAGGAACCATCTTCAGAGGCACTTACAACAAATCATGAAAACACTGGCACAGCTCAACATCCACAGTATGTAGTTATTTGTGGAAACTATTACATATATCGGAGTGTAAAGCACAACACTTCCCAGTATCTTGAATGCAGGTATAGCACTTGCATCTAAAAAAACCACCCTCAAACCGAGTCGTCAACGTTAAAATTTAAAGTTAAAAATAAAAAACGTTCAAGTAAAATATTCAGGCTCCTTCTTGGTGAATCGTCCCAATGTG